GTATTAACATCTCCAAAATTATAAGCAATCTATTATAGGTTCAGAGAAGAATGTAAATTAGATTCAAAATACTACTAGACAAGTGATATACACAGAGTTTTCGTTTGCGAAGTGCAAACCTCAAGAGATATTCGAGAGGTATCAATAAAAGACTTGTTGAAGTAGTTAATAGCTTCTTGAGCTTCGCGTTCACTACGATATCCAATAAAAGCAAATTGTCTACATTTACCTTCCCTGCAAAACCAAAAACAATAACAATGGTGATTCAAATTGTTTAAGAGAGCATCAAACCCCAAAATTTAGTTTGTGAGTACTTGGAACGCATCAATTTCACGTCTGTGATTTCTCCTTTCTGTGAAAACACATCTCGAAGTCGATCCTCTGTCACGTGTTTGGGCAAATCCTTCACGAATAACCTCGACCTGGAAAACAGAACAAGACAAGTTTCTTACATTGATTTCTGCAGCCCTAAAAGCAATAGAAACCAGTACTTACATTATTTGGGTTTACAATAAATAAAAAGCTCGTTTGGCAACTGTAGACACCGCCTCGAAATTAGGGTTTCTGAGGAAGACGATGACGAGAGAGAGAGTAACGAGTAGAAGACGAGAGGGTTCGTTTAGGTATTTTGTTGTCTTTTTTTCCCTTGAGGAAAGGCTTTCACATTTTTAATTTTCAATTTATAGACAGTAAGAATTCAGCCCAACAGATTTCTAAAGAACCGATAAGAGATAGTAAATTCACCTCAAGAAAAAAATATATGTTATAAATCCGTCCATTATAGATTAATGTTCTAAAATTTTCTAGACTTATTTGTTCTCCAAGTTCTACTTATTCCCCAAGTATTTATAATCCTATATATAGTTTCTATTATCGATGGAATAACACAACACAATTCTTTTTCTCTTTCTCTTATTCATAATAATATCGGATTAATTTGTTTTACTTGTAAGATAATTCATACGATACATTTCTGTAAATTTACAAAATAAACAGCTAGAAGAGCTACTATAAAGTTTACGAAAATATGATTCATGGAAACAATCTTGATCCGTTCATGGTTAGATAGATGATTTCTACACAAGCAGCAAGAATATGCAATTTGTATCTTAAGACAATATTAAAACTATGCGCAAAAGTCACTGGAAGAATCTCATGACTCAAAACAAAAATAGATACGATAACAATCGCATATCAAATTACCCGGGGCGTTCTAGTTATAGTTACGTAAACAAAAGGCTAGCTAAGACTCGATAAAGGCGAATGACTTGCTACTGTGCAGACGGGACTCTGTCCGTGACAAAGGGCTACCAACCATTTTCTCCTCTCATATGGCGCCACTGCATGAAGGACATTGAAAGTAATCTTCTTTGGAACGGTTAGACCAGAGGAACGGAAGAAGACAGTGTCTGTGGAAGACATGTGGGCAACTAAACCTGATGAGATAGCGAATCGGATCAGTAGCAGCGTCCCTGAAAACGAAGTTTTTCTCACATAAAGCACAATCTTCAAGATCATCCGTATCAATATCAGCTATATCATGGCCCGGCCCCCACCCTTCGCCTTGATTGACTATGTAAAGGCTGCCCCTGGCCTCTTCTCCCCAGACCATTGTAATATCTGAATCGTCATTGTAATCAAAATCAATACCTCTCAACCCATATTCAAGGACAGCATATTCAACGACAGCGGCAGCAACATCGCGCCAACTCCATAGATGGTTCAAGCTTGGCGGTTGAAATCTCCGATCTGCCGGCGGCTCTCTTTCAGTAATCAATTGACGGAAGTTCTCTTCGGACCCTAATGCAAATGACCTTAAGTCAACAACATGCTTATATGTCTTCTGCGCCGCTACAGACTGCTGAAACAGAACATCAGGCCCAGAATATGGGCGGTAAACGGTTCTTGTGAACTGTGTGCCTGTGATAACAACTTCGTTGTGGTCCGAGGCTTCACTTCTGGCCGCACTAGTAGCAAATATGTGGTTTGGATAAAATTCGACAATATCCGTTGGTTCAACATCCCTGTTCATGTTGGTCTGTGAATAAGGAAAGCAAAATCAATTAATATTCACAAACTGTTCATGTTGGTCTGTGAATGAGGGAAAGCAAAATCAATGAATATTCACAAAGGAGCAAGAACATATACATATGTTCTTGTTTATTCTCTTTACAAAAGTGTGCAATTGAACATAAAGCTTGCGAAGAGACCATAACTCACACCAATTCATCAAGACAAATGATTTTCCCCAAATGTTGCATCGAACTCGTCACAAATCAAAGCTTTAAACCCTAGCTTTTCTAAAATCTCATATTTATCACGGAAATAATCTACCCAACCTGGAACAACCATAATGTTGAAGAATCGAGTATCAATCAATCAACGCCAGCAGTTTTGTGTTTGCCCTAACCTTATTAGCAGCAAACCCATGGAGAAGACGAGATTGAAGAAATCATACCTTGTTAATTCAATGAGGATGAGATCGGAGTCAGCTACAGAGACGAGATTGAGAGCCAAAAACGAGTGGAGAGGTAGAGATGTGTTGAGAATAGATCGTGAATTTCAAACACTAAAATGGTGTTTGATTCTTTCTTTTTTCATGTGAGCCACCGAC